TCTCTCTCTCTCTCTCTCTCTCTCTCTCTCTCTCTCTCTCTCTCTCCCCCTCCCACTCTATCTGAACAAAAATGGAAAAATGTCCTCGGGTAAGGATAAAAAAGTAAATTAAAATAAAATAAAAGGTTATTATTATTATTTGTTTTTATTCATGGATTTCAGAACAGAAAGTAGAGGTAGCAATAACTTTAAACAATAACCTTTAGTTTCCGACCTGGGCTGGTTCACCCCTCTTAGGCAACCTGGTGGTCCCCCGCTCCCGGGAGGTCACCAGATTGATGCCGAACTTAGTGCGGTCGCCGGATTGGCATAGTGCACTACAGCCCAGAACCCCTGGTCTCCAGCAATCCTCCAGCCTGAGCCTCCCGAGTAGCTGGGACTACAGGCACGTGCCACCACACCCGGCTATACAATAACTTTTAACCCAAAAACTTTAGACCAAGTTTATTAAAGAAAGTTTTATCAATTGCCATTACAAAACAAACAAGCTGTAATTTTTTTTAGCAATTTTTATTTCTTTAAAAAGTTATTAAGAAATAATGTTTCATGAATAGATATCTAAAATTGCATAATTTCATGCACATGTTAAATTTTTTATAGAAATAGACATTTAAGTTTATAATAATACAGTTTTTTTTCTGTAATAAAACTAATGGTAAATAGCTTCTCAGTCAATTCTCAACCAAAGATGGGAACGAGAAAGAAAGACTACTAATAGGGAAGAAAAATGGCAGAACAAGTTTTGGATAAATTTCCCTTAGTAAATAAATATATATGTATACCAGCTGGCAGAAAAATTAGGGAAATATCTGTGTTCTCAGAATGAATACAATGACATTTGGGTTTAACTGCTTAGTTTGTTTTGTTTAACTGACTTTAATGAGTCATATAAGAGTTGAATTGAGGGAATTTTTCATAAAAAGCAGAGAAAGCAGAGGCTTTTGTTCTCTCTTAGTCATCACAAGAGTGATCTGATGATCAAAACTGGTTTTGATAAAAAAAAAGAGCTACCCAGAAGGCTCAGGAGTTGCTTCCCAGGAAGATGTGTTAGACATGTTGTGAAATTCCATGCCTGGTCTATTTCAGAGATGAAAGGAAAGTTTTAGAGGTGTTACAACTCAGCTGGATATGTTTCCTGCAATATTGTGCTTACTTATTCAATCAGCAACTGGCTTATTTTTTTTTAGCTCAGAAGACAGTTCATGACACCTCATTCCAACTAGACCATCAGTAGATGTTGTATTTGACCACATGTTGATGAGTGTTTTGATTTTATTTTGAAGTGAGATGAAGGAACTTATGTACATTTTTATATGAAAATATAACTGATCAAGTAATCAGAGGTCATTTAATTTGTTTTTTTGTTTGTTTGTTTGTTTGTTTGTTTTTTGTTTTGTGGTACATGCCCCTAGAAGGAAGGGAACCCAGGACTCTCTGGCCCACAGGCCGACACTCAACTGCTGAGCCAAACTGGCCAGGGATGTTTATGTTTTTAAATAAATTCTATATTTTACCAGTAACTGACACTGGCATTTTTTTTTTTCCCATTTTATAGTTGTTCTGGATGGAAATTAGCCACATTTCTTTGTCCTGTTCTCATTTTGTCTTAGTAAATTAAGTAGCTGCCATTGAATTTAATTCTACCTTCCCCTTGGAAAATCCTTTGTTTGTACTTTCCATGCCCAAGTTCTTGCTATTATCACTTAACCCATCCCAAGCATGAGTGCTACTGTTTTATCACATCTGAAATCCCCATGTAAAAATCCGGATGTATAAAAATGCACATTATACTTCAATCTATGTTATGCAGCAGATATACTTTATTTTGCAGAGAGGTTTTGGGCCTAGGAAAATATTAATCCGAAGAATATTACATTTAGAAAATTCAAGGCAACCACTGGGAAATTTTCTTGAAGCTGTTCATTACCGACTGAAGTATATCCAGTGTTCCTATGACTCAGATGACATAGGGACAATTTATATTAACAGTAGGCAGATGTTTTTGCTCACTTTTAAATGGCTATTGTTTTAAAGCCTGGATTATAGAATGGCTATAAAGTCTAATAATTACAGACAATTTGAAGACAGGCTAAAATTTGAGTTCTGAATTGGAATTTATCACGTAAATACTAAAATACTAACATATGAACCGTCTGTTTTTTTTGTCATAAAATATTTTACCTATTAGACCAATAGGATATTTAAGTTGAATAACATAATATATTAGCATTTGCACACACACGCACATAGAAATAAAAGTTTCAGAGTCAAATTCAATGTTCAGTCACAGAAAATTAAGTAACAATTTGACCATCTTTTACTTGATTACCAAAAATCTGCTTTTATCTTTGAATAATTAGGTTCAGCAACACATACTATTGAAATCTGATATTTGGATTCCTACTTGAAATAAATCGTGAAATACCATTTGCCAAAATAACATATTTAGAAGAAGTATTTTGAAAGTTTCTAGTTATTTGTAAGATTGGGGGGAGGATGTTTTTAGTCTGTGACCTATATTTTAAATTCTTTAAAGAGATATCAAGAAGTAATATAACAATATATTTTATTTGAATGTAGAAGACCAGAGAGCAAGAATTCTTATAAAAATGAATATATTTATATGAATTCATTCACAAAATGGAAATCACAGTAAAAAAGAGACACATATGGTATGTGCAGGTGTAGAGACACGTGAGAGGTGTTGGTCAGGGCAGAATGGTATACTTAGAGCCAGACTGAGGTAATACAACAGAGGGAGGGAGGGGCAGAAGAGAACCTTCCCAACAAGGTCACAGACTACAAATCAGCCAGAACCATATGGTACTATTTCCAACTAAGCTGGCAGTATCTTGTTATTATATGAGTGAATAAATGATACCAGAACTGGAGAGGAAGTAGCTCATATAGAGCTTTTGCTGTCTTCCAAAAGAATTTCACACTGCTATACATATCAGATGATCTTGATCACAGTGGGAGTTTTGCTGATACAGAAAGAGAATGTTATGTAATTTGTTGACGCAATATATTAGCAAAATTTTAAAAATTGGATAAATAGATAATACCAACATAAACTTGGTAGAGGTAGGATATTGTTTTGGAACAAAATTATGACTAATTTAACCTTAAAACTATATTTTGCAAAGAACACTTGAGGTTTTTAAGCCCTAAATGCTCATCTTTTCCAAATTGATGTCAATGTCTGTGAAACTATAACAGGAGTGGACCCTCAACCTGCCTGAGGTTGCAATAATACCATAAAAATAGTTCTCTATGAACCATATGCTAAACACAACAAACTCATGATGAATATGTCAGGTTCAGCTCCTCACTCAATTCAGTACAAAAAATGACATATACTCAAATGGATGGCCTACTTGCCCACTGAAATTATTCCTGACACAGTCCTCATAAGAGTTATATTAATTTCCATAATTAATTATTTACTGAGGCAGAAATTTTTTTATTCTTTACTTCATCTCTTTTATGAAGAAAAAAAATGAGGTCAGAATAAATGCTTTTGCTCTGTCTTCTTGATAGATTTTAATCATAACACTGTAAAGTGTGTATAAAATGTATAGGCTGACACATCTATTTAGTCTCAGGGTTTTACAAATATGGTTTCATTGATTTTTAGAGAGAGGAGAAGGGACAGGGAGATGGAGAGGAAGATAGAAACATCGATAAGCTGTCTTCTGCACTCCCCTCACTGGGGATCAAGGCTGCAATCTCAGGCATGTGCCCTGACCAAGAATCGAACCAGTGATCTGACTGCACCACACCAGCCAGGGCTATTTAGTTTCAATTTTCATTTCTTTTTAGTTCAGAAAGAAAACAAAATTCACATTTAAGAGTTCATTTTTTTGCACATCTCTAGATTAGTATATCTTTGCAGTGGATGTAACATAGGGTGTTATACTTCTTTGACTGCTCCTCTCTACCCTAAGAAGCAAAGGAAATAAACACACTAAAGCAATGAAAGAAACTGCCAATCTGGAGCGGCTTGGTTTGAAGCAGATCATTGTTTAATATTATGTAACTTCTATCAGTCACTTCTTTTCGCTTGCTTTCCTCATTCCCCAGAATTAGTAATAGTGTTAGTTTTCCCCCTTTAAAAAATATATGGTTTTATTTTAGACTACATTTAAAATATGTCCAGTGAGCAACATGTGTTAGCTATATGAGAAATAGTCACACTTAATTGAAAGCCATTTCTCTGAGACAGACAGTTGAATCTTTATTCACAAACACAACTCTTTATAAACCAAAGTGCAAATCATTGAACTCTCGGACTCTTTGGAAAAGAGTCTGACAATAATAAAATAACATTAAGAGATTTTGCAAGGGCCAGGAATTAAAGTTGCACTACATCTTATCTGGGTTGGCCTTCAGTAACTATCTGTTTATGGAATAAATTAAGCAAGAAGGATGAGCAAAAACAAAATAAGCCAAATGGACACATAAATTAACAAAGAAACAAAAACTTATCAGACACAAGGTTGAAGATATTGAGCATATTGCCCTTCATATGATTTATGCTCTTAAACAGCAGATGTAGTCACAACCATACCAGGGTGATGTAGAAAAATTACATACAGTATGAAAAAACATATCTTGCTAAAGCATGCCATGTTCTTTGATATTTGCTCAGAGAAACTTGTGGGGTTTTTTTAAGTGTAACGGGTTTTCATTATTTGTAACATAGGTGCAATTATTTAAAGTTAATACATTTTTATTTAAGGAATTTCACATGTTTTGAGTCCTTCCACACACGGCTCTAGTTTCTCCAGAGTTTGACTCTTTAATCTCTTTTTTTTCTCAATCCAGTTGTCATTTCAGTCTGTCCTATATCATTGGGACCCAATTTCTTCATGCAATTTACTTTACTTCCTTCTAAACATGAGTAAGTTCAAATCATATTCACTCCTACAGATAAAAACACCAAATGAAAAATTGAGGAGTGTGTAATAAAGAACTAAGACCTATACAGAGCTATATTCAGCTGTCAGAGTTTCATTTTAGTCCATGTCTGTATCATTCAGCAGTTGAACCGTTAAATTTATGATCGGAACCGCAGTGGTACCCTCTAAGGCAGCGGTTCCCTCTAAGGCAGTGGTTCTCAACCTTCCTAATGCCTTGACCCTTTAATACAGTTCCTCATGTTGTGGTGACCCCCAACCATAAAATTATTTTTGTTGCTATTTCATAACTGTAATTTTGCTACTGTTATGTCTTAGGCGACCCCTGTGAAAGGGTCATTCGACCACCAAAGGGGTCGAGACCCACAGGTTGATAACTGCTGCTAAGGTTACACTGTCACCAACTAAAACTTACCTAGGCTATCACTCCCTAGAATAGTACAGATCCTTCAGCATATACAACTACCTAAGACAAAACAAGTTAGATTATTAGGTCTTTCATAGTTTTAGCAGCTCTGTCTTGTAGTTTCTTCCCACAGATCTAACACTTAGTTCTGTGAATAAAGGAAGAATATATTTACTCTCTGAGGCGAGAAATTTAATTTTTACCTAATTTTATTTGGAATTTTTCAGCCAAAATTTTTTATAATTAAGAAACAAAAAAATAAATAAATAAATAAAAGGGAGGTTTAATGATTGATCTAAGTGGAGGATTTTTTTTTTTTTTAAGTAGCCTATTTAAGTTGAGGTGATTTTTTTAACAGCCTGTTATATCTAAATATAAAAACGTGTTTCTAGTAGCAAGCACCTAGGATTCTTTCACTCATATTCAAGACCAACCATTTAGACTTGGGATCCTAAAAAATAGTGTTTAAAGAACCAGCAAAGCTGCCCTGGCCTGGTGGCTCAGTTGGCTGGAACATCGTCCCCTACTCCAAAAGGTTTCAGGTTTGATCCTCTGTCAGGGCATTTACGGGAGACACTGGATTGATCTTTCTCTCTCTCCCTTCTATTCGCTCTAAAAAAAAAAAAAAAAAAAAAAAAAAAAATCAATAAAAAAAAATCCTTGGTGAAGATTAAAAACAAAAGAACCAGCAAAGTTATCATTGACATTTTAAAAAGATGGCTATATAGCAATTTGTCTATAAGATCAGCCACCAAAAGCTAGAAATTACTTAGAAACATTTGGAGAATCTACAATAAAAATCTTTTTTTGTTTGTTTAAATGTTGGAGGAAAGGTTTAATCAAACTATTTACACCTTATAACATCTCTTTGTTTTTTCCTTATGGCTTTTATTTTATTTTTCTTATTGTACATAATATATTTTATGATTCAAAGTTGAAAAGTTTAGGAAAATAGAAATAGGAATAAAAACATCATTGAGATTTTTGTTTGAATTGTGTTCTACCTATACCTTTAGTAGAGAGGAATTGTGAAAATATAGTTATTTGATTGTTGAACATTTCATATTGCTGTTTCATAATCATATAAGCTTTTTTTTTTTTTTTGAAAATCGCATTAACTTTAATCTTTAAACTCTCTCACATGACTTAAGGAGCATATGGACTTAAGTAATACATTGGAAATTACTGTATGATATATTGATACGTCAAACATATTCATTATATATTAGGTAAGCTAATAATCCTATGGTCATATTTGTGTAATGTTGGTAGTGCTTGTGTTGAAACAGTGAAAACCAGAAAAAGGAATAAAGCATGTTATCCACATTCATCAAATAGCCAGTAGATACTATATTAGTTTTCTAGGGCTTCCATAAGAATGTATCACAGACTGGCTGGCTTAAATAATAAATAGTAGGCATTTTCTCATAGTTCTAGAGGCTAAGAATCTGAGATTAAGATGTTGGTTTGTTTTGTTGTTGTTGTTTTTAAGCCTTTCTTCTTGATTTGTAGGTGGCTGTGTTTTCCCTTTGTTTTCTTTTTTTATCCTTCTCTCTCTCTTTTCACTTTTTCATTCTCTTTTACAATATCTTTTTATTTTATTTATTTATTATTTATTAATTTTTGTTACAGATGTTTCTCCTTTTTCCCCCATTGACACCTCCTCTAAGGTTTGTCAGTCTGAACCCTACTTCTATGTCTCTGGGTCTATTTTGTTCATTATATTCCACAAATAGTGAGATTATGTCGTACTCGTCTTTCTCTGACTGGCTTTTATAGCTTAGCATAATGCTCTCCAGGTCTTTCCATGTCGTCTCAAAGGATAAGAGAGCTTTCTTTCTTACAGTTGCATAGTATTCCATTGTGTATATTTACCACAGCTTTTTTATTTTTATTTTTTATTTATTTTATTTTTATTTTCTTTATTAATTAATTTTTGTTACAGATGTTTCTCCTTTTCCCCCCACTGATTCCCCCCTCCTTTTCCCTCCCTGCCCTGTCCCCAGTTTGTTGTCCATATCCACTGTTCATGCATACATGCATATAAGTTCTACCACAGCTTTTTTATCTATTCATCTATTGATGGACACTTGGGCTGTTTCCAGATCTTAGCTATTGTAAATAGTGTTGCTATGAACATAGGAGTACATATATTCTTTCTATTTGGTATTTCAGGCTTCTTAGGATATAGTACTAGAAGTGGAATAACTGGGTCAAATGGCAGTCCCATTTTAAATTTTTTTGAGGAAACACCAAATTGTTTTCCATAATGGCTGCACCAGTCTGCATTCCCACCAGCAGTGTACTAGAGTCCCCTTTTCTCCACAACCTCTCTAGCACTTGTTTGATGATTTGTTGATAGCAACCATTCTGGCAGGTGTGAGGTGATACCTCATAGTCACTTTAATTTGCATCTCTCTGATGATTAGTGATGTTGAGCATTTTGTCATATGTCTCTTGGCCATTTGTATGTCCTGTTTAGAGAGATGGCTATTTAGCTCCTCTGCCCATTTTTTAATTGGGTTCTTTATCTTCCTTTTGTTGAGTTGTATGAGCACTCAATATATTTTGGAAATTAACCCCTTATCTGATGTATTGTTGGCAATTATGTTCTCCTATACAGTGGGTTGCCTTTCCATTTTGATTCTTGTTTCTTTTGCTGTGCAGAAGCTTTTTAGTTTGATGTAGTCCCATTTATTGATTTTTTCCTTTGTTTCTCTTGCTCTAGGCCTTGCATCAGTGAAAATTCTGCTCTGTATGATGTCTGAAATTTTGTTGCCCACATTTTCTTCTAGGATTTTTATGGATTCACAAGTCACATTTAAGTCTTTTATTCATTTTGAGTTTATTCTCGTGTATGGTGTAAATTGGTGGTGTAGTTTCATTTTTTTGCATGTAGCTGTCCAGTTTTGCCAATACCATTTATTGAAGAGATGTCTTTACTCCATTGTATGCTCTTGCCACCTTTTTCAAATACTAATTGAGCATAATGTCTTTGGTCCATTGATCTATATGCCTGTTCTTGTGCCAGTACCAGGATGTTTTGATTACAGTTGCTTAGTAGTATAACCTGATACCTAGTATTGTGATCCCACCTACTTTGTCCTTCTTTTTCAAGATTGCTGTGGCTATTTGGGGTCTTTTTTGGTTCCATATGAACTTTTGAAGTATTTGTTCTAGTTCTGTGAAATATGTTTTTGGTATTTTGATGGGTATTACATTGAATCTATAGATTGCATTGGGTAATATGGACATTTTAATGATGTTAATTCTTCCAATCCATATACATGCTATATCTTTTCATGTTTTTTTATATCTTCCTCTATTTCTTTTTTCAATGTCTTATAGTTTTCTGTCAATAGAACCTTTATTTCTTTGGTTAAGCTTATTCCTAGGTATCTTAATTTTTTTGTTACAGTAGTAATTGGGGTTGTTTTTTTAATTTCTCTTTCTGTATGTTCATTAGTGGTGTATAAAAATGCCAATGAGGGCATTTGACTTCCGGTCAAGATGGCGGCGTAGGGAATCGCAGTATCGCGTTCTCCCACAACCACATCCAAGTTACAACAAAACTACAGAACAACCATCATCCAAAACCGCCTGAAATCAAGCTGAATGGAAGTCCTACAACTACGGAATTAAAAAAAAAAAGGCAGCTACATCCAGACTGGTAGGAGGGGCGGCGGCGCGAGGGGTGGTGGCAGCGGCACAGCGGCGGCTGGTCCCACACCCAAGTGTGGCGGATAAAAATCAGGAGGCTCCCGAGGCTGGGAAGGTCCTTCCTGAGGACTGAGGGGTCCCCGTCCCACACCAGGTGCTCCGCTCAGGTTTCCAGTGCCAGGAAGAGAAGTCCCCATAACTTCTGGCTGGAAAAACCAGCGGGAACTGAGGCTCAGGGAAGCTGACCTGGCTGGAGCCACAGGCAGCTCCTTAAAGGGCCCGCGCACGGACTTGTCGGACTCTCTCCCTCTAAGCTCGGAGGGGAGGCAGCTCCAGGGGCACCAGAGAAATACAGGGAGGAACTGAGCTGTTTGGCACTGGAGCGAGGGCTGGAGAGGGGGCTTTCTCGGGGACAAACGTGCTGTCAGAGGCCGTTGTTCCTTTGGTGAGCCCTTCCCTGGGGCGGCAGACAGTGGCCATATCTGGGACTCCAGCAACCTGGCTCACACTGGTAGCCCCGCCCTGCTGACTCCCTGAGGCCCCGCCCCACCCAACTTTTAGGCTCACCCAAGCTGTTGCTACTTGCTTAACCATAGGATTGGCCTGTCTTGGATCCTGCTTCAGGTTTTTCCTAAATTCTTTCAAACGAGCAGCATCGGGTCTCAGCGAGCCCCATACCTCTCGTTAAGTAATACACAGAAACAAACACAGGGAGGCAGCAAAATGAGGATACAAAGAAACAGGTCCCAAATGAAAGAACAGAACAAAACCCCAAGAAAAGAACTAAGCGAAATGGAGATAAGCAACCTAACAGATGCTGAGTTCAAAATACTGCTTATAAGGATGCTCAATGAACTCAGTGAGGGCCTCAAGAGCATAAAAAAGTACCAGTCAGAAACGATCGCTGCACAGTTAGAAACGAAGGAGGCTTTAACTGAAATAAAGAATAATTTACATAGCTTCAATAATAGAGTACGTAAATCCAAGGAGCAAACCATCGATTTGGAATATAAGGAAGCAAAAAACGCCCAACCAGAACAGCAAAAAGAAAAAAGAATCCAAAAAAATGAGGATAGTGTAAGGAGCC